TCTAGGATGGCATATAAGGTAGTCATCATTCTCATTATCACGGGAGGGCATTTAACATAGCCTAAATGCCAGCTGGTGTCATTCTTGTAAATCTGTGAAGATCTCACTAGTGCCAGATCTCTCGTCTAACTTATAATAGCTCCCCCTTTTCTGGTATCTCCCATCCTTTTCTCCTCTATTCTTACCCTGGCTCAACCTTCCTGCTCTCCCATGTCCTCCTCTCCCCTCCTCTTTTCTCCCTCTCTTTCTCCCATCTACTTCTGCCCTCCCCTTCTCCCCCCAAACTAATTAGGAGATCTCATTCCATAACCCTTCTCCTGGTTACCATGCATATCTCTCTTAGGGTCCTCCCTGTACCCCAGCCTCTCTGGTGGTGGAATTGTGGCCTGGCAGTGCCCTGGTCTATGTCTCAAATCCATGTATGAGTGAGTACATACCATGTTTCTCTTTTTGTGACTGGATCACCTCACTCGGAATGGTTTCTTCTAGTGCCATCCATTTGCCTGGAAATTTCAAGATTCCATTTTTTTCTGCTGAGTAGTCCTCCATTGTGTAAAAGTACCTCATATTCTCTATCCACTCTTCAGTTGAGGGCCATCTAGGTTCTTTCCAGGTTCTGGCTATTTCAAATAATGCTGCTATGAACATAATTGAGCAGATGTCCTTGTTGTATGATGGTACATCTTTTGTGTATATGCCTAAGAGTGGAATTGCTGGATCTTGTGTTAGACTGATTTCTATTTTCCTGAGGAATCTCCATACCGATCTACAAAGTGGCTACACAAGTTGGCACTCCCACCAGCAGTGGAGGAGTGTTCCCCTTTCTCCACATCCTCTCCAGCATAAACTGTCATCAGTGTTTTTGATTTTAGCCATTCTGACAGGAGTGGGATGGTATCTCAGTTTACTCACCTTTTCTAATTCCAGCATTCCTTCAGACTGGTTTTTTTATTGTCTCTCTTTCAGATTTCAAACCTTGCACTGTTTCAATTGTTTCTTGTAATTTTTTGTTTGTCTTTTCTTCCATTTCTTTAAAAGATTTTCTCATTTCTTCTTTTAGTGTCTCTATCATTTTCATGATATTGTTTCATCTGTGTTGTCATGTTCAGATCTTGATGGTGTAGAGTCCCTAGACTCTGGTGGTGTCATATTGTTTTTCCTGTCACTGGATTTGTTCTTGTATTGTTGTCTTCCCATCCCTTCTTTCAGTGGGTACAGGTGGGGTCTCTTCCTTTCCTGGTGAGTACAGGTCCAAGGTTCTCTTTTGGTGGGTGCAAGCAGGTCCAATTCACTGATGGGTCTCAAGGTGGGTGTAGTTGGGTCTCAGGCACTCCCCGGGAGGTGGGAGCTCTGCCTTCTCCCATCTGCCCTCTGCCCTGAATGGGGGTGGGTATAGGCAGACTCTCTCAGTAGACTTCGAGTTGCTCAGTCTTCTGGGGGTGAGTTGAGCTTGCTGCAGTTCCCAGTCTGGGAGATCCAAGAAAGAGCAAGCAGAAGGAAGTGGGGACCAGGAAGGGGGCCTGGAACTCACCTCTGCCCTCTGGCCTCTGCCCTGAGTGGGGGTGGGAGTAGGCCAGCTCTCTCAGCAGTCTTCTGTTCTCAGTCCTCAGGGGGCTAGTGGAGCTTGCTGCAGTTCCTAGTCCAGGAGATCCCGGAGAGTCCTTTTTTAACTCTTAATATTTTTCTTTATTCCTTAAGTTTGGTGTTTTGATTATTATGTGGTGGGTGGACTTGTTTTTGTGGTCCAGCCTATTTGGTGTTCTGTTATCTTCTTGTACTTTCATAGGCATATCTTTCTTTAGTTGGGGAAGTTTTCTTCTATGCTTTTGTTGAATATGTTTTCTGTACCTTTGAGCTGTATTTCTTCACCATCTTCTATACCTATTAATCTTATGTTTGACCTTTGCAATGTGCCCCATATTTCCTGAATATTTTGTGTTTGGGATTTGTTGGACTTGACATTTTCCTTGGTTGATGACGGTATATCCTCTCTTGAGTCTTCAACACCTGAGATTCTCTCTTCCATCTCTTGTACTCTATTGGGTATACTTATATCTGTAGTTCCTGATAGTTTACCCAGTGTTTCTCTTTCCAGCATCCCATCATTCTTTGTTTTCTTTATTGTTTTTATTTCAACTTTCAAGCCTATAACTGTCTGAATTGTTTTCTTTACTTGTTTGGTTGTTTTTTCTTGGCTTTCTTTAGATTCTTTAAGGGATTCACGTATTTCTTGAATTTTTTGGTTTGTCTTTACCTACATTTCTTGTGTTTCTTGTTTGGTTTGTTTTTCTTCTATTTTTAAGGGATTTTCTCATTCCCTCTTTAAGGGTCTCTATCATCTTCATAAAATAGTTTTCGAGGTGTTTCTCTTCTGCTTCATCTGCATTGGGCTTTTCAAGTCTTGCTAGTATGGAGTCCCTAGATTCTGGTGTGTCATATTTGTCTTTCTGTTGTTGAGTGTATTCTTATACTGTTGTCTTCTGATCCCTTCTTTGAATGGTTGAAGGTGGGGTCTTGCCTTTTCCTCAAGTCTCCTGGTGGCATATATGGGCCAAGATGTCAGTGTCTGCAACTCTAGATATCTGGCATTTCCTGGTATTCTCCTCACTCAAGCGTGGGGCACAGGACAGAGGGAGTCCAAGGGTGAGGTGTGACCAGATTTAGGATCGTCCTTCCTGCTACTCTATGAGAGGAGCAGACCCCGAAAGATTCAAGGGGTTATGATGACAGGAATTGGGGCCAGAGCAGAGCCCACACTTACCTCAAGCAGAGGGCAGAGGGCAGATGGGACCACCTCAAAATTCTAACCATGAGAGTTTAGCTTATTATGTGTAAGGTACTGTGATGAGCTATAGAAAGCAAAATTTTCCTTTTTTGGATCTTGATGATCCTTTCCAAAGAGATGGGAACTTGATATTAATTCCAGCCAAACGATTGAAGACTTTCAGGTTCGCATAACCAAAGGCTTTTTTTTCTTTTTTCTTTTGGTCAAACCCATAATTCTTCAGCAAGCTTGCATAGGGAAATTAAGCAGTGAAAATTTGACCTACTTGCACACTCATTAGGCATAATGCAAGGCTTAATATTAGAGAGGGTTTATGCGTGTGAATCTGAGTGCATGCTTGCCCGTGTGTGTGTGTGTGTGTGTGTGTGTGTGTGTGTGTGTGTGTGTGTGTGTGTGTGTGATACTGAGAATGGAACCTAAGGCTTCATAATGCTAAGTGCTCTACCACTGAGCTATAGCCCTAGCTTAATTCATTTGTTTTTTAAATGTGTGTCCTTTCAAATGAAATGGGAGCCCCCTACTGTTCTGCTAATCAAGGAATGAAGTTGAAAATATGTTTTGGCTTTGGTAGGGGGCAAAAATAGCTGGTGCCAGAGCTCATACATTGAAATAGACTAGGGGGTCTGTTTTCTGGTCTATCATTCTCCAGTGGTAGATCATTAATGACAAATATGTTAGCTGGGAGTCCCCAGCTGCCATCAGTTCATTTCCCAGTTGTTTGGGGGGATAATCCTTGTTAGGTATGAGTTTGCAATTCCACAGGTATTACAATGTCAGGGCAAGTCCCCACTTCCGGTTGAACGTTTTTACCACAGCAAAAATTGGATTGTCTGCAAAATGTTGATCTTCCATAAAATAAGTAGCAGCACCTTTTAAGAAACTTTGAACTATGTTTGAAGTAGTGAAGAATTCTGGGAAGATCATGGCTGTGCATTCCTAAAATTGTGATGCTGTATTAGGGTTTCTGATTTCTGTGGTCTCTCATACTTGTCACCAGAGGCCTGGCCACTTTGCTTCAACTCTTTGCATTCTCACATTTTAAACAATGATTTATTTTGGGCTGGAGAGATGGCTCAGAGGTTAAGAACACTGGCTGCTCTTGCAGAGGACCCAGGTTTGGTTCCCAGCACCCATGTAAATCCAGTTCCAGGGAAATATGGTGTCCTTTTCTGGCCACCAGCAATGCACACATGTGGCACATCCACATACATGCAGGCAAATCACTCATAAAAATTAAAAAACATTTTTGAATTTTTGTGTATATGTAATTGTGTGACCACCTGGTGCCCTGGAAAGCCAGAAAGTGTTAGATTCCCCTGCGATTGGAGTTACAGGCAGTTATGAAATGGTCAATGTGGGTGCTAAGGATCAAACTCCCTTTTCAAAGGGTACGTGCTCATAACTGTTGAGCGTTCTTTCCAACCCCTGAAGCTTGACAAGTAAACTTATTCATTTTGATTCTACTGGAAGTAGTCTTCAGTCAAGCGTGTGAATGCTAGTTCTGGCTTTATTTGTGTTGCTGAGTTTTGCCAGCTGAAAATGGAACACTTAGCTAATAGTATAGAGTGTGTTGTTTTCTTTTCAGTGCTATGTGAAGGTTGATAACAAGTATACATACAAGTTAATACCGTTACTTGAGCTCCATTGCAGGTCTGGGAGCATTTGGAATTTGCTTTCATTTGACTATTCAGGTTAAAATTCCTGAACTGCCTTTCTTCTTTTTTTCCTTCCTTCCCTCCTTTTTCATCTCCTTTTAGCTTATGTCTTTTCTGTCTGTCTCTGTCCTTCTGTTTCTCTATTTCTGTTTCTCCACTCCCACCTCTTGGTAAAATACCATAAAACGAAGGGACAAAACCCTCTGCATTTCTTATTATAACATCTTATGGAATCACCAAGAAGTTGTGAATTTTAGGCTATTGCATCCTTAAGACTCTGACTCACCCTTGAAGTTCCATTTTATTTTCCTTGCATGTGGATGTTTATTTACTTATAGCCCGCCTTCTTTCACAAAGGATTTGAGTTGCCAAGCTTTAACTTGTTCAAAACTTCAGGTGGTGTTCCAACTGATGAAGGCTGCATTCCTCACATCTTCAAAGGGAAAATAAGAAGTTATTGCAAAAATAGAAGTATCAACTTTTCCACATTACACAAAAAACTATTAAGAGCAGTGATTCAGACATTTCCTGTGAAATCTGTTTTACAAATTTCTTGGCAGAGCCATTAGACGAACAGCTTACTCAAGGCTTCCAGTGAAATGCAGCTCAGAAAACAAGAGATATAAACAGAACGTTTGCCCTGGTTCTGTTTACCTACACCACCCCCTGGGGAGTGTATCTGCTTGGATTCTTCATCATGTAAGTATGACCTCTATTTCTGAATATGTCTAATTAGAAGCATTAAGCATGTCTGTAACTAATCTCAACAAACATGTCTGTCAGTTTGGATATGAAGAAAAATGTAGTCAAATTGCCAGCAGATGTGAACATGAGCGATTTTTTTTGCCTTAAATTGTATGCAGTGTACTCATTAAGTACCTAACTCATACTATGTATTACTTCCTGTTAGCAGATTTTTGTACACATGTACATATGAATGTTTATGTTTGTGTTCTTCCCACTAGATTCTGAACTTGTGGAGGGCAGGCTGCAAATCTGTATCAAATATTTTTATCTTCAGTGTCATAATAGTACAGATTAGAGGCTGTTTTGGTGGATTAAGAAATGAAACTGTATAGTCAATCGTAATACCTTTGGGAACTGGTCGTATTTTCCATTTTCAGTTCGACTGGTCTGATTTTATAAATAAATTAGCTTGGTTTTTTACCAAAAAAAAGCCCTTTGTATTTTGTGAGCACCCATGATTAAGCTTGGCGATGTAAACAGAGTCCATTCATCAGCTTTAATTCACATGATCATGTTTCAAGTTGCTCTTTTTTTAAAAAATGCATTTACATTTCTCTTTAAAATAGTTAATGAAACATAACTGTCACAAAGATCACCACCTTTAATGTGATGAGTTTGAGCATACGCACACATCCACGAAGTTATTGTCACAATCAATGTGATAAACACAATCAGATTGCTTCTGTGTGGTTGGGAGTTGTTGGGTTTCACATCCTTCTGAGTGATGTAACTTGACATTTGCACATACTCACTCATGCAAGGGTCTTTGAAGTGCTATTTCCTGGCCCAGATAAGGAGATATGGTCATCTACAGAATTCTAAACAGCAGTTTTCTGACTCAGTTTCCTGCCCTGGCCCAGGTTCCTCTAAGAATTATTCATGAAAGACTCCCCTTTCTCATCAACAAAGGCATAAATGTGACGACTAGACTAAGATTAGCTTGGCTGACTATTGATTTTGGGGGGGCTAGGGGGAGAATCTTCCAGTTCTCTCTCTCTCTCTCTCTCTCTCTCTCTCTCTCTCTCTCTCTGATGATTTGAATAAGTCATCTGGTTTTGTTTTAAAAGTGAGAAAGAGGTAAGTGGAAAAGGATGTGCATGGGGTAGTATATAAGACCTGACCTCAACATAGTTGTTTTTTGTGATTCAAATCCTTCTGAGCACAATGACAAGTAAAAGATATTATCCTTGTCTTCATTTTTTATTCTTCCTCTTTCTGTATTTCATATTGTTCCCAGTGCCTTTCTATTTATTCCATTTGTAAACACATTGAGACCCACGTCTTTTGATATACCTGTGCCAATCACCTAAGATACTTTTTCTTTCCTTCCACTTTATAAGAATTGAAAATTTTAGCCGGGCGGTGGTGGCGCACGCCTTTAATCCCAGCACTCGGGAGACAGAGGCAGGCAGATTGCTGTGAGTTCGAGGCTGGACTGGACCGACAGCCTCGAAAACAATAGAGAGAAACCCTGTCTCGTAAAAACTAAAAAAAAAAGAATTGAAAAATTTACCCCTTCCCTTTCCTTCCTCCAAACACTTCTGTATCCTCTCCTTATTTTCTTTCAAACTTGCAACCTTTAAAAATTGTTATTGCATTCATGTCTACATACATGTCTTTATTTCTAAACAAAGCCTTCTCAATCTGTATGTTACTTAGATATGTGTTTTCAGGGCTTGCCATTTGGTATTGAATAACCAACTGCTGTGCTCTTCCCTGGGGAAGACTATTTTTCCACTCTCAGAATTCCTTAGTTGCCTATAGTTTTTTGTAAAATTACCCCTAAGCTTACTTTAATAATGAAGGATTTAAAAGCCTGGTTTTAATGGTAGGGAGAGAAAAAATACACCAGGGTTGATTTTTTAAAAAAAATTCTTTGTGTTTTGACATCCTACCCTATAATTCTACATTAATGAAAATGATCCAAAGGTAAGTTGTAGTTGAATCTTAGAAAACACGTTAGGATGCAAAAAAAAATTGTTGGTTAGACAACAATTTTGCCTCCTGAGTGCTGGAACAGAAGGCATGCACCATCATGCCAACCTTAGGATCACTTTTTTAAGGCAGTGCAAAATATTAAAAGAACCTGTCAGCCGGGCGGTGGTGGCGCACGCCTTTAATCCCAGCACTCAGGAGGCAGAGGCAGGCGGATCTCTGTGAGTTCGAGGCTGGGCTGGACCAACAGCCTCCAAAACAATACAGAGAAACCCTGTCTCGTAAAACCAAAAAAAAAAAAAAAAAGAACCTGTCATTCTTTCATCCCAGTAACATGATGTATGGTTCTAAACATGTTATTGAATTTGATTTGCTACAGGTTTTATTGAGTAGTTTTTCAGCTATGTCCATCAGGCATAGTGCTTCATAATTCCCTTGTTTGTCAGAGATGGTATTTGCAGGACTCCAACTAAAAGTTGCAAAGTGGCCATTGAGCTTTGTTTAACATGGCGTTAAGAACAAAACAGAACATTCCATGAGCAAATACGCACTTCTGAAGAGATGATCCACATCAAAAATTTGAAATATCTGATTGAAAAGCCTGGCTTCCACCTCTTAGAAAATTAAAAAGATACGACAACACAGCGTAATGGCCCTGATACCCTGAAGCTAATTATTATCCTCCACCAAGGGACTCATTCGGATTGACTTTCTGAACACTTAGACATTTTAAATTGTGTCTCCCACGTGTATATTCTCCTAGTCATGCTTTCTTGAGACAAAGAGCTTTAAGCAGCTCACATATCCAACTGCATTCTGGAATTTTGAGACACTATCAGAGACATAGATGCTTATGTAGTTTTCTCTGCAGTGAAAATACCCCCACTTTACACTTTGTATCAAATTACATTTCAGATTACCTTCTGCTTTGTCTAACAAATCACTAAATAAGAGTTAATATTTACTATCTCTTCGATATTTTTAACACAGAGAGAAAACAGTTATGCTGTATGTAGGATAGTTTTATTTCAGCTTCACACAAGCAAAAGTCATCTGAGAGGAGGGAAAAAGCCTCAATAAGATCAGACTGTATGCAAGTCCGTGGGGTATTTTCTTAATTGATTGATGGCAGAGGGCCAAGCCCATTGTGGGTGGAACTAACCATGGGCTGGCGGCCCTGGGTCTTATAAGAAAGCAGCATGGCAGAGCATTGGTGGCGCATGCCTTTAATCCCAGCACTCAGGAGGCAGAGCCAGGAGGATCTCTGTGAGTTCGAGGCCAGCCTGGTCTACAGAGCCAGTGCCAGGATAGGTTTCAAAGCTATACTGAGAATCTCTATCTCGAAAAACCAAAAAAAAAAGCTATGTTTAATGACTGGATAAGGGGGAACTCTTGAACCCCAGACTGATGGCTGAGAGGCCAACAGGGGACTGATCCAGACACCATGAGTGTAGTATCAGTGAGGAGCCCTCAGAAATCTCTGGGACCTTGGGTGTATGAATGAACTTTGGGAGCCCATTCCACATGGAGGGATGCTCTCAGCCTGGACACATGGGGAAGGGCCTAGGTCTGCCCTGGATGAAATGACAGACTCTGGAGATATCCCCAAGGAGGGCCTCACCCTCTCAGGGGAATGATATGGGGATTGGGTGGGGGGCTGGGGGATTGGTGGAGGGACAAGGGAGGAGGGGTGGGAGAGGGAGCTGGGATTGACATGTGAAGCATTCATGTTTCTAATTTAAATGAAACATATATTGAGGGGGAAAAAAGAAAAGAAAGCAGCATGAACAAGCCATGGGAAGCAAGTCAGTAATCAACACCCCTCCATGACCTCTGTATAAGTCCCTACCTCCAAGTTCCTGCCCTGTTTGAGTTCCTACCCTGATTTCCTTAGATGATGAGCTGTGATATGGAAGCATAAGCCATATAAATCCTTTCCTCCCCAAGTTGCTTAGATCATGCTGTTTCATTACAGCAATGATAATCTTAACTAGAAAATGCTAATAATGTGTAATGATTTCCTTATGAGGAGGTTCACCATGTCACTCTTTTAATACCTGGCTCACAAAAAGCTCTTCATTATTGCCACAATGGTAGATATGACAGATGTCATAGAGATTTCATATGAATGGAAAGAATGTTCTAGACATGCTACTTTTAAATGCAAAAGATACCAATATGAAGAATTATTTGGGGACTGTAGAAGAAACACTTGTTAGCTTTGAAAAATATTTCTGTGTAAAGGAGGAGAGAATATTTAAATATCACATTTTCTTTCATTCTCTTAATTTTATTTAAAAATTATAAGTGTAACATTTTCCTCTCATTTCTAGTACACCAATCAAGAAGAATACTGTTTTTCCCCACTAGATATCTTCTCCAAGAATTTTCATTATTCTGATACAGGAATCTATCTGCTCACGGAAATTTCTTTTACTTTTTCTGGCCACTGTAAGTGATCAGAGGAAAAATTCAAACACTGAAACATCAGCTTATATATAGAAAACTTTGAAACCAAAGAAAGGTGTTTTATGTTGTTTGAGAATGGGTCTCCCTAACACAGAACTGGCTGTCCTGGAACTTACTGTTTAGATTAGATTAGCTTTGAACTCAGAGATCTGCTGCCCTCTGCTTCCTGAGTGCTTCTATTAAAGGTGTGGGCCACCACACCCAGCACTGGAAAAAAGATTTTGTTTTTGCCATCAATTGGCACTAAAAGCAAGATGTCATTTCATATGCCTGTGTGACATAATTTGAAACTGGGTCTAGCCATGGGAAACATATTAACACCACTAAATCTCTTGCACAGAACCATAGTTTCAAGAGTTTTATGTTGTTTTGCATATAATCTTCTATCATTTTTATTCTCTACCTTTCTCCAGGAATCCTGCCCAGCTTCACATTTTAAAACATCGAGACCATATGAAAGACCTCCGAAGGTACCTGGTGTTCAAATACATCCAATATCTAGTCCTACCTTCTCCAAATACCATCATCACTCTACTGGGATTGCTTGCCAGTCTGTATGTTATGCTGATACTGACATTTCCTTCTGTATCCAGAAAATCCACTGTGGTGTTTATTAGTAACATAGCTCAGGCAGACATCTTAGCTGGCTGCAGCATTTTGTCTGCCATTACAACAGGTATGATAAGGAGTGAAACATCTTCAGCTTCTTTTCAATCTGGCTTGAGGCAGAATTTCCAAATAGCAAATGTACATGCCAGTTCCCTGTTACTCAGCTGTGTTAGCCTTGAGGCTTTTCTGATTACCTTTCTTCCAGTAGAGACACGCCACATAAGGAATGTTAGATGTGCCAGAGTAGCTTCTAAGATCATCTGGACTGCTGTAATTACTGAGTGTTTCCTTTATCAGCTTGAATGCATCAAATGTCTTGACATCTCTCATAGGCAAGTTCAGCTATTGTTGAATTTCTGTTATGATACCACAGCATGGCTGAAATTGCTTATTTACCCAATTGGAATTCTTTTAAGAATCTTCAATGTATATCTTTTTTATAAAATGTATTTCTGAGACTGTTGTAGTTAGTTTGTTAGGAATGTAAGATGTGGTGTTCAGTTGTTTTAGCAAACACTCATATTTAATGGGGCTGTGAAGACGTTTCACAGATACAATTAACTTTTAACTTGTTACTATTAACTTAAAGAGACTAGCATCAGTAGTGAAAATAGACCTCATGTAATCAGATGAAGGCCTTGAGAGAACTGCACAGGTTTTCCAGCAAAAGGAATATTTCCTGAAGACTGTTAACTTGAGGATCCAAGCTGTTGCCTGCAATGCATATTTCAGCCTCAAGACTACAGCACCTGTGTTCCTGATGATCCCGCTTTGTGACTCTGAAAAACTATGTAAGACAGTTAACTTCAAAGAAAGAGAAAAATGCAACCTGCTCAGTTTGCATGATGTCTGTATAATGTATGAATATTTTCAGGGCTGACAATTTAGTACTGGATAACCAATCAGCTTGCTCCTCCCTGGGGAAGACTATCTCTCCTGCTCTCAGCATCCCTTAGTTGCCTGTAGTTCATAATGTAGGTGTGAGGTCTCATGGGCTTTCCCCTTGCACATTAGCATATCTGTTGGTGTCATTGTTGTTCAGTTAATGTTCAGGCAGTCATGTAGGTGAGACTTCATGGATGTAGCTTCTGACATTCCTAGAAGAGACAGTCTCTTGGAAAACTCCCTTAACTTCTGGCTCTTAGAAATTTTTCACCTTCTCTTCTGTAATTACAACTGATGAAAAAAGAGTCTTTGAATTGAAAGAGAGCAAGGAGGAGTATATGGGAGGGTTAGGAGGGAGGAAATGGAAAATACTGTAATCATATTATAATGTCAAAATAAAAAATAGAGAATGTCATATCCTATATACTCTGTTTATTTTTATTTTTAATTTTGGAAAACCCTGAACAATGCTGAATTTTTGCTGCTGAGAAACAGAGAAAGAGATTCTTACAAGTTTTCTGAATTAGTTTTGGGGTTTTGAAATTTCTTCTCTAATGCAACTAGATTTAAGAGCATTGGTATATTTATTTCTAGTAGTAAAATATACATAATATGATGTGTCAAGAAGTGTAAGATATCACTATTGACTACACTCAATCAAATTTCCTGGTGAGCACACACATGAGAGAGAGACAGAGAGACTTTGAAGCCACTATGTAGCTGAGACTGGCCTTTGGCACCTGACCTTCCTGATTCCACCTCCCAAGTGCTGAGATGATAGACATGTAATATCACACCTGGCTGGGTAACCTAGAGCATCCTTATAAAATTAATGAGCTTACAGAGATTGAACAATTTCTCCTCATTTTGCCAAGTGTAAAAGGAAAGGAATGAATTAAAGACTTTTAATTCAAGTGCTGTATTAGTTACTTGAAAACATCGAAATCTTCCCTAAAAGACTTACCTGTAGTGACAACGCTGATGTGATGAAAAATTGAATTTAATATTCTCATTTGAGCAAGTTGCAACTTAAATAGAACTTCTAAGCTTGTAGGATGTCTACTGTTAAGTGAAGACATTGACTAGGAAGGAAGGGCATATTCAAAATTGACATGTGGATAAATGGGCACATGCCAATGAATTGAGGACACTAAGCCACTAAGGTGAGCCAAGTTCCTTTTGTCAGTAGAAGCAGTCTCATCAAAGGAAGAACTCTACTTTGTCAGACAAACTGTTACAGAATCTCCAATAAGGCTGCCTTGCACCACTCAAATTTCTTCCTGGGGCCTTCCTAACTATCTCTTTGTTATTTCTGGGTATATAATTAGATCAAGTCCCAGCAAGCACAAAAAGGTGAGGTTTGTTGCATAAGGATGCTTGTTAAGATCCAAAACAAGTGTATGATTTTTTCCAATTTATAGATGGGAACTTGAATGAAATGTTTAGTACTAGATATTAAGGGTGGAGGATACGAGTAAGGAGGACATAGCATTGGATTATTCCACATAAGATTATAGATATTGAAAACTTAGAGTGACTACTAGCACATAGTCTTTTACCTCAAATGTAAAAAAAACATTTATTGGAGATTGATAAAATTAATTTTTAAACTAATGTACTTTATTATTTCTTTGAGAATTTCATATACTGTATTTTGATTATATTCACTTCTGCTCCTTGCTGAAACTCTTTCCATATCCATCCCCTTCTCCTCACCCCCTGAACTTTGGTGTTCTGTCTCCTAAATATTTTTTAAAGAAGATACTGTCTTGTAACAGATCTCTTGGTCCTCTGGCTCTTAGAATTTTCTGTCTTCTCTTCCACTACATTCCTTGAGCTTTAGGTATAGCATTTGTGTTATAAATGTATTAACTGGCAAGGGGCATTTGATGGAGAGGAGTGGAGGAGAAGAGAGGAGAGGTGAGGAGATAAGAAGGAGGAGAAAAAACGAGGGAGAAAGAGAGGGAGATGCCTGGGACCAGCCAGCCAGGCAGATACCAGCCAGTTAGATATAATAGGACATACAGAAAGAAAAGGTAAGAAGCCCCAAGGCAAAACATAAATAAAGAGAAAAAAGTTAAGTTACAAGAGCTAGCAAGAAATGAACATAAGATTGAACATTCATAACTAATAATAAGTATCTATGTCATGATTTGGGAGCTGGTTGGTGGCCCAAAAGTAAGCCTGGTATACATGAGATTAGGAGAAAAAATCCCAGCAGTAAAAATGTTCAAAGGCAAAATTAGTTAACTATGAGACAGGGAATAAAAACTAATATATCAATCCATTAACAAGAAAGACAAACTAAGTTAGGTGTGGTGGTGTGTGACTTTAATTCCAGCATTTGGAAGGCAGAAACAGGCAATTTTCTATGGGTTTGAGGCCAATCTGTCTGCATAGGCAAATTCCAAATGAGTCAGGGTACATAGTGAGACATTGTCTAAAACAACAAGCCAAAAAACAGAGGTTCAAATGGATGGAACTAGAAAAACTTACCCTGAGTGAGGTCACCCAGACCCAGAAAGACAAACATGGTATGTACTCACACATAAGTGGATATTAGCTATAAATGATAACCATGCCACAATCCACAGCCCCAGAAAGACTAGGTAACAAGGAGGGCCGAAAGATGGATGTATGGATCTCTCTGGGAAGGGGAAATAGAAGAGATCTCTTCAGTGGACTGTGGGTAGAGATGGGAATTGAGGGATCGGATTGGAGTATTGGTGGAGGCGAAGAGTACTGAAAGAGATGTCTGGAAGGGGTGCTTATTAGGGTCAGGTAGAAACCTCATGCAAGACAAAGTCACTTGAATCTACAAGGATGACCCCAGCTAAGACCCCTATCAATAATGGAACAGGAGCCTGAACTGGCCTTCTTCTCTAATAAGATTGGTGACAACCATCACCACAGAACCTTCCTCCAGTAAGTGATGGAAATAGATGCAGAGAGTCACAGTCAAACATTAGGATGAATCTGGGGAATCCTGCTTAACAGGGGGAAGGAGGATTGTAGAAGATAAAGGGGTCAAGGACATCACAAGAAAACTTACAGAAACAACTAATCTGGGCTCATAGGAGCTCACAGAAACGGAACTGACAACCAGAAAGCCTGCATGGGACTGACCTAGGCACTCTGAACATATCTGACAGTTGGGTAGCTTGGTCTGCTTGTGGGACTCCTAACAGTGGGAGCAGGAACTGTACATAATGCTTTGGTTTTGGGAACCTAGTCCTTATACTTGTTGCCCAGCCTTAATACAAAGGGAGGAGCTTAGTCCTACTTCAACTTGATATGAAATGCTTTGTTGACACCCATGGGGGGTCTGCCCCTTTCTGAACAGAAACAGAGGAGGAATGGATTGAGGGGAGGCTGAGGGGAAGGGGGGATGGGAGGAGAATGGGGAGGGAAACCAGTTAGGATATAAAACAAATAAATTAATTTTAAAAATGAAGAAAATCCAGATAAGGGAAGAGTTGTGCATTGTGTAATTTCATTTATATAATATTGTAGTTTAAAAAACCTATAGGGAATAAAAATAAGGCTTTCTAGGGACTTTGATGAGACAGAGTTGATTTAAAAGGAATAGCACACATTTTTGTACAACAGAATGACTATTGCAACTTACATTTTGCAAAGTTTCTAGAATCTTTATTTATTACTCTAAAGTTTTTTAAATGTCTAGGGAAGTTGACATACCTCAAATTAATTTCATTTATCCAATAATCCAGTATCATTGAACAAAAGGCAAGAGCATGGCACATTGAAAATATGACTGACTAATGAGTCTAAAATTGGTTCAAAGAATCATCAGGATGATAAAGTGTACTCTGGAAAGTATATGCAAGCATGTCAATTCCATTCTTTCCATTCTTTCTTTCTTTTGTTTTTTTTCTTTTGTTTTTTCCAGACAGGGTTTCTCTGTATTGTTTTGGAGGCTCTGTAGACCAGGCTGGCCTTGAACTCACAGAGACCTGCCTGGCTCTGCCTCCCGAGTGCTGGGACTAAAAGTGTGCACCACCAACACCTGGCTGTCAATTCCATTCTTATGCACCAAGTTGCTCAAGTCAAAACCAGAAGCCATGAGTTGAGTTCATGATGGAGTTTACTCAAAGCCAAACTGTGAAAGATATTGTCTAAGAGTGAATCTAATAAAAGATGATTAATAAGTGATGTGTGAAATAACCAGAGTATGTGTTGCTAAAAAATGTATAAAATGTATGTAAAACCCCACAAATCAAAGAGAAAAAGCTAAAAGCAAAGAGGAGCACTAATTACTAAATTACTTAAACTGGTCATAGCCATTGTGGGCAGATGAACCATGCATGCATCTCATTTGTAAAATTAGGATGAAGCCTGATTCTGAGTGGGTAAGAAGCTAGAATAGATGATCTTAATATAGTTTCTTATCTTAATAAATACTTTTATGCCTTTGTTTTTGGATAGAACACTGTCCTCTGATTATCAAATACTGAACTGATTATGTGGGACAGAAGAAATTTGATGAATATGATTACAAAGACAATAGGGAAAACAAAACAGGTTTAAAAGCTATTCTGTGGGAATTACAGATAGAAATGCATTTTGCAAAGAAGATTTACATGAAAAAATTTTGTTTCCTTTTCTTCTCTTTATTTAATTTTTATTTAAATTAGAAACAATCTTGTTTTACATGTCAATCCCAGTTCCCTTGCTCTACCCTCTTCCCCTGCCTCACCCCCTTTCTTCTTCTCAGGGAGGGTAAGGCCTTCCATGAGGAATATTCAAAGTCTGTCAAATCATTTGGAGCAGGGCCGAAAACCTTCCCCATGTGTCTAGGATGAGAGAGTATCCCTAAATGTGGAATGGGCTCTCAAAGTCCATTCTTATACTTGGAATAAATACTGACCAGAGGCCCAATGGACTGCTCTGGCCCCCTAACTGACACCCATGTTCAGGGGGTCTGGGCCAGTCCTATGCTGGTTTCCCAGCTATCAGTCTGGGGTCCATGAGCTCCCTCTTGTTCAGGTCAGCTGTTTCTGTGGGTTTCTCCAGCTTGGACTTGACCCCTTTGCTCATCACTCCTCACTCCAAAACTGTACTCCAGTAGTTCGGCTCAGTGTTTAGCTGTGGATCTCTGCTTCTGCTTCCATCAGCTACTGGATGAAGGCTCTAGGATGGCATATCAGTTAGTAATCAATCTCATGATTGGGGAAGGCCATTTAATGTAGCCTCTCCACTATTGTTTAGATTGTTAGATGATGTCATCCTTGTAGACCTCTAGACATTTCCCTAGCGACAGATTTCTCTTTAAACCTATAATGACTCCTTCTATTGTGGTACCTCTTTTCTTGCTCTCCTCTATTCTACACCTGACTCAATCTTCCTACTCCTTCAAGTACTACTCTCTCCTTGCCTTCTGCCCTTTTCTTTCTC